GCCAGGTCAGCCACGCCACCATCCATCCTTGCCAGTGAAACTACAGGTTTATTATGCTACAAAAAGCCATAAATTCTGGCTGTTACTTTCACTCTCTGAGGTAAATCGCATCTTTAACCGGGGGACCTTTCCCAAAGACAACGTTTCTGAAGCACGTTCCTGCGACTGCAATCTGTGTATTCCAGTTGCTATAGTGGTATTTATCTGGCATATCAGCCCAAGTAGTCTGATGTATCTGTGAGTTTGTGAGTAGAAAAATGTGTGGGAGGGCATGTGGGGTCAGGGTGCTTGTACAGTGTCTACTATACATGAATGTAGAGTCATTCTTGCCTATATGTTGTTTAAACCTGTATGTTTACCCCTGATGAGGTTTTTGACTTGTGTACTTGTTTAATCAAATTGCTATTCCAAAAAAGTGAGATCACTTTTTACTTTTATTTTGTTTGCTCTTTTGTTTGTTTTGTGGACTATTTGTTCTATGGGCCAGAGGTCAACTACTATTTATTTATCTATGTTTCTACAGTCACATGTACATTACTGGTCTAATATTGGTGTGGGTGGACATTAAAGTAGTTTGTAATATAATATACAACTATAATAATAAAACTATTTGTTAGTCCATATGATACTCCTTCCATTACTGTGTCATTTGTATTGGGGTGGTAACTCATGGAGCAGTGAGATTACAGGATTACCCGTTGCTCTGAGTCGTGACAGTCTGGGCACTGCTGTCACCACAACTGGATATGTGACAGAGACAGTCGTGTTCCTCCTTCATATAACATGGGACACACACAGCACATCCTTATGTTCAATTATATTAACGTTACTTTATGAAACAACTTCTTACTTATTATTGTGATTTTCTTTTTACACATTTTAGTAACTAATGGGTAATGCAGTCTGGACAAAGTGAATCTCCTCAAACATCTCAGCCGTGTTTCTGACACTAGTTTACACAATAGGATGTGTTTCAGTCGTTCATGGAATCTGACACTTCAAGTGACACCGGCTCTCAGACTTCTGCTAACCATTTGTTTTGTGGAATGTTGTTTCCACAAACATGTCCACATTCAGTTTTATTCTCTTGTTAAAAAAAAAACAAACAAAAAAAAATAGCTGCAGTGTTAGTAATTTCTACAGTATGTTTAGTTATTAAAGAATTAGGAGAATCAAATTTCATTCCAAGTTTAACTCCATGTTGGAGCATCAGCTGTGCTTATCTCTGCTCTTGTACAACTTATGGTAATACTCATGTGTTACTGTTCCTGTGACAGATGCTGCTATCTGTTACTGTCATATAAGCACATATGATGGACTTACCTCACCCCTGCAGAGTGTTTCTGTAATGTGCATGATAGTCCAGACTCTCCAGAAAATGCCACTTGGGGAGACAGCATGTTAGACTATAATGACACAAGTCTGACCTGACATATCGTGACACTCTCTGCCACGGCCCCGCCACTCAACACCACTGGGCACAAGTTGCTAGGCAACAGGCCACAGGAATGTCGGCGGCACTGGCACGAAGTGAAGCTCGGCAGAAATGACAGTGACAAACACGGAGGACCAGGGGGGTGACAAGGTGCTGCTCTGTGCAAAAATACACCTCTGCCCAACCTTGTCACACGCTGCTGCCGATCAGCAGCCCTCCTCATCTTTCTCCTTCCTTGTTCCTTCCTGTCTCCGGGAAGTGTCCCCCAGTCAAAACATGTGTAAGAGAATTAACATAGGTTGTACTTCAGTTATTGCACCAACAGATCACAGACAGGACCCTTGTTTTAACTTGTCCTGCTAATGCAGTGCCTTGTTTTCCAGCATTTGTCATCGTGTTTATAGAGTTGCCTACTGTGACAGCAGAGCACTAGGGAGACTTTCCTAGATTGTTAACTTAAATTTCAGGGAACAACTTGTTAGCTGCAGTATGGTGTTAGACATTCCTTTAAAATTTTCTCATTAATAGGCCCAATCTGTGATCTAAATATCTTACCCCAATAAGAACCTGTTATCACTGATTATATTAGAATATGTTAGCAATTTATGGTACAGGTTAGACAAAGTTACTGACTACTGACTGACTGACTGGTTGAATGTTTGGAAGAAGGACAGAAACTGTGTAAACTTTAAATTATTTTAATCATATAATGTTTTATGTAGTTATATAAACTGCTCTTTTCAAAAGTTTCAATAGTTTTGCTACAGGATAAACAGCAGCTTTATGCTGTTTTATCTAAAAACTGCCGCAGGAATGACGTAACATGGAAGTTAGTATCACCCCGGTTCCTTCCATATAAAGCCAATGAGATTTTTGGATTATTGTGAAAAACAGACTCTGTGACGAACAACGATTTATGACACGTTTTGTTCAGCAAGATAATCTTCAAAAGTGAACACCGCTTTTATGATTTTAGAAATGTAAAAAGCTAGCGTTAGGCTATAAACAAACGACAGCATGGTCACCACCACGGCCTCCGAAGTGTAAATTGATTTAGTGCGCTTACCTCTCCTACAAAATTCTTTCCTCTTAGCATGACCCAGTGATCATGGCTGTGTCAGAATAGTCTGCAAGTGCGCAAGTATAAAAATATCGAGACTGTAAAGTCCGGCTAGTAAGTAGATGAGTCTCTGTGTTCGGGGGCGATGACGTTTAATATGCCAGACAACCTCCGTAGTCTTTGTAGCACTTGTTAACAACTGCCTTTTTTAAGACATGTAAAAGTAGTAAAAATCACTTGTGTTAACCACAGACTTTAGTTTAAGCGTCTAACCCACTGACTTCAGGGAAAGGGGACCAGAACTGCAAAAATGTTATCTAAGTTCCAGGTTTTAAGACTTACTGCTCCGGCACTCTATAGTTGTATTTAAAGTGCATTTCTTTCCTGTTTTGGTAATCAGTGCTAGTTGATTAGAATGGCAGCACTGCAATTTTCATGTTTTTGTGGGTCAGTAAATTGAACCTTGAACCTGCACTTTTTAACTCCACTAGGGCATCAAATGACAGGCTTTACATTCAATTTGCTTCATGATCAATGTATTCATTTTCCTTCAGACTCCAGTTTAATCAAGCCTTGGTATTTTGAATCTTGAGTTTCATACAAGCTTCACCAGAATGCAAAGGTAATCTCTTATTTGTTTGGTCTGAGCTTGTTGACTTCATCTGACAGCTTGGCCTGACCTGAAACAGCCACTCACTTTGAGCTGGCCTGAGACAGAGATGGAAAATGGGGTCAGATCTAATCAACACTGTTGTCATGATTATGTCCAGTTCACTCCATCCTGTAACCAGGCAACAGGCAAGGCTGCCACAAAGCTGATGTGACAGTCGCAGGTAGATTGAATGTGGAAAGGTGGACAGGAAGCTTGGGCCTTTGGGTGGAGGGGCTGTTTGGCCCGACGTAACCCAGTTCTGTCCAGCCTGTCAAACTTGCCTGTGCTGGTACTCGGTACAAGGACCGGCAAAGGTGGCTACCTAAACAAAAACATTAGCCCCTATCTTGTTTTGTCCTTGTACTAAACAGCAATACATCTTACATAATCACTTTCAAGATAAATACAGGTCAGGAAACCAATCTGATCCAATTCTTTTATTTTGCTGCAAGCTGAAGGTAGTGTACAGGAGGTCTACAGGAGCTAGAGACACTGTACAGGAATCTTAATACAAGACTGGATTTAAGAATTAAAGACTTTCTTGTACATGTGGCCGTCTTAATGAGTAGACATGGCTTAAACAGCCAGTTTAGGAAAATTCTCTTTAAAACTGTCCTTTTATAAATGCGTTTCCAATATATACAGTAAATAAATTGTCAAAAAATTTTAATAGCACCTGCGTTGATGCACAGAGCATGTTACTTGTGCAGTAAAGAAAGTGTGTGTAATAATTTAAAATTGTTAATCCATGTACAATAAGTGGTTACTCGTTTTCACACCAACAGTGAGCATAAAGTATCATTATGAAGATGAAAAGACCTCAAATTATTTACATTACAACAAAGGTTTATACATTCATTATAAAACACGGATGAAAAATCAAGTGTTTTTACATCACGTGCACAGACTCAGATCACATAAAACTGTCAACTTTAAGACTGCAGGACACAACTACTGCTGACAGCACATCTGTTGCAATGACAAGTTAAATTTCTACACTTTCACTCTGCTGTTGTTTGTATTGGTTGGAGGTTGTCTGCTTGCAACTGCACTGTGCTTTGAGTGCACAGTCACTGTCTAACACACATCTGGACTAACACTATGCACTCTGAAAGTTCTATTGGTGTCAAAACAGTTTAAAAGTATGCATGTATTATAATGTACAGACAAGTTAAAGGAAGAACCGGAATAAATCAGTGGTCTCTTCCAGGATTACAGTGCCCCTGTACATAGAACAAGAGGGGTCACTGAATGGCTTGATGTGCAGTGAAGATGTTCTGGTGACCCAACATCTTACCAAGGGTGTTTTCACACTTGGTACCTTTCAGCTCTCAAAATGAACAAACAAACAAAAAAAAAAACAACCGACAGGAGTAAAAGGTTCAGATTGATAAGCAGTACTGAGAGGAGTACTGTTAGAAATCTTAATGATACTCATATGGATGAGTAGTTCGGTGCAAGGAAGAAACTACTACACTTCTCCAGATATGGAACAAAGAACACATCAAACTACAACTGTCTATAAGGCACAGACATGCTGAGGGTTTCTTACAGTTTTCAGCTCATAGAAAGAGTGAGGGGCTTCTTTAGGACTAAGCAACCCCATTAAGACAGGGCTACAGGACAATAATGGTGACGGTGATGGTGTTTCTCATCATTTAATACCGCAAAAGAGTCCAAACTGATGCTTCTAAAAATTACTTCAGTGTTGTAAAATGATGAGTATATTAGTTGCTCTGTCCTTACTCTACCTCAAATGGCCATAGACATTAATAACTTGAGAAGAAACAAAATTATGCTGAGACTAGATACCCCATAAATGCTATAAAGGTGTCTATAAAGAAGGCACTTACCATGGTCTTCTGCGGACGTCGTACAGGTCAATCTTGTTGGGTGCCCTCCACGGAGTGGCTAGAGGGAGCAAGAAAATAAGTTACAGTCTGTACAGTTGACCGTGGGATATTTCAGATCAGATTAAAGTAATCGTAATTTCATTCTGTCCATTGAGTTACCAGTACAGTCATCTGATAAGAGACTGCCAAAGTTCTGCAGCCGAGGGGCCCTGGGGTCAATTTAGATTTTATCTTGCTGTGAGTTAGGCAGACTGTTGAGTCATTGCCCTCTGGCCTACCTGGGTAGTATCGTGTTACTCCCGTGGCACTGCCAAACACCTGCCAGCGCAGAGAACTGTCCTCCCGACGGTTTTCGATGAAGACCCTTTCCAGGGCTTGGGTCCAGTTTAATTCATTTAAGATGACTGGGGCTATGGGAAAACACACACACACACACACACACACACACACACACACACACACACACAACCAATGGTGCCGTGGCAGGGCGAATTCATTTAAGATGTCTGTGGCTATGGGAAAACACACACACACACACACACACACACACACACACACACACACACAAACAATGGTGACGTGGCAGGCAGAGTTCCAGCATTTCCTTTCAAGTTGACCAATTTACTCAGATAGTTTCTTTCAAAACAAGAACTTTAAACAGACTTTCACCTAGATTCTAACATCAATCCAAAGTTTTTTTTTTGGTTCTGCTAGGGGATACTGTTCAGTTCACCCAAGTGTTTAGCAAACAAGGTCCTGTTGACATGAGCACAACCCAGAATATGCTTCTGGTTATATAAAGTTGAAAAAAATGAGAAGATTTGCAAATTAGCTGCTGATTATGTGCCCAAGTCCCTCAAAGTATGCATAAAAAAAAAAAGCAATAAGTGCTTAAACTACAGGCGCTGAAAATAGTTTTTTTTTATAATCCGATTTCCACCCAGTTTTACAATACTGATTTCTGTGAGCCTGTCAAAATAAACAATTTCTCAAGTAATAAGCCCTAAATATAGTGTTAGCACAGTGCAAAACACTAGGGTTGTGCTGTCAGTAACCCAAACACCGACTGTCCTTGCTGAACGACCTTGTCTGTGCCAGCTGCAGTAAGCTGAAGGCTGTACATAACAATGGGTATATGTAGGAAGCTCGGCTGACGGTGGCCACCCGAGCAGGGAGATAGTCCAGTCTGGGTTATCTGTGAGGAGTGCAAAGACAGAATCATAGATGACCTTGGAGGAGGTCGCGTCACTCTCAGCATTTGGAGGCAGAAGGCACTTCTGATTTTTTGAAAGCATAAAAATACTAAATATTTCCGTGTTAGAGGACTGCTCAGTGATTGGAAGAATAAAGAGAGGGAAAAGGGGTGAACAAGAAAGAGAAAAAGACCTGGTCTGCTTGTGCATGTGCAACTAAATTGTGTGAGTTAAAATTTAAGGTCACAGACATATCTCACAGGTCAGCGGTGCTCTGTAAAATGGATTCATGGTTGTGGAGGAAGTATTCATCATCTAGTCAACGAGAAGTGAAATAACACTACCATGGCATCAACGTGCATCTCTTTCCTTTCTGCCTCAATCTCATGCAACTCATGTTGTATTTACACTGTCCTATTTCTTTCCATTTTGATGCACATTATGTTCATTTCTGTCTTTACAGCATGAGACAATATGCATTCACATGCACAAACCAAAAATGCGCTCAGTCTGTGTTTAATAATTAAGCTGAAGTCAAAAGATGGGGAGTGCAATCAGAGGTTTAATAGCCACCTGATTAAAGAGGAAACAAGATGAGGCACTGAGCTGAGGAGAACTTCATTCGCTGCTGATTTAATTACTCAGCCAACCAAAGCTAGATAAGCCTCTGAACTGACAAGTCCGGCTTTCCTCAGCCCCCAGTTTGAAATTCACACAAACAAACGATCTTTATCCACTTTTCCCATGCTTTTCAATTACTGCTCAGTCTTTGCCGAGCTGCCAGTTTCGAGGTAAGAAACGCTGCGCCAACCTTCCCCCACCTGCTATTTACCTTCTTTTGCTCTAAGCTCCTGAAGAATCACTATCACGCTGGCATTACCTAAAAACATAATATTGCGTCAGCTGAAAGTGCCGCTCGACCTTGCCAAACTCTCTCCAAAATTGTAGCTCAAAACAAATTCTAAGTTTCATTAGTCTCTAGCATCCTGTAAAACAAATATACACAAACACACGTGCGCATACACACTCACTACAGAAGCACTAAGTGGTGTCTGGAGGATAGGAATATATGAAAGCCAAATTGCTGGCATCACCAAGGGGAGCTCCTCAACATGTTTTTCTCAGAATTCATAGACATAAACATAAAGGAAGAATGGAGGAGGATAGAGGCAGCCCTACAGATGGAGATAAACATAAAACCTAGAGAGAGGGGGGGGGGGACTGATGGAAAGCAACACAGAAATTAACACGAATGAGTGGCTGCTTTCACAGCTTGAAAAAGGCAATTTCTCACCCATGAGGGAAGGAGAGAGAGAGAGAGAAACAAAAACTTCACTTCACTGCTAAATAGAAAATGTCAAAAATGTCAGAACCAGACATGACTGAGGTCAAAAAATTTATTATTGGAAGTGTTTTTATATAATGTAACAAATGTCAGATCGCCTTTATCCATTGCTTAGGAAGAACTTGAAGAGTGAACCAGAGAGAAATTAGTGACTCGGACCATGAATTTTCAAACTTGCTACAGTTGCTGCCATGACTTGAATTTATTTCCATGTGACCAGTGGCTATATTTTACCAATGATTGCAAGGAGTTTATCAAAGAACCAAACCGTGCATTTCAATTTAATCTGGGCTGTGCAATACTGCATGGTCAAAAAGCCATCTGATTAATCTGTAAAAAGTATCATCCTTTAGGCATGAGCTATCGCAGGGGGGTTGCAGCAGCGGCAGCCTGTGTGCTCTGAAGTCCTGGGCACTCTTATCTGGAGAGGCACTGGGTCTGTAATGATAGCTGTCCCAGAAAGGCCAAAGGCAAAAAGACATCCTGTGACCTCTGTTTATAACTAGCACCATCTCAGCTACCTTGGCTAACATCAAGGTATTAAGCAAACTCTGCATATGCAAGACAGATTATCAGCCGCATTGCTGCCCATGACTACACACACACACACACACACACACACACACACACACACACACACATTCAGCTGTGATGTGTGCTCTATGTGTTCTGAACATGTGTGTTCCTGATCTATCTACTGCTAGTAGAAGTGATCTATGTGCATCATTTCTTCAACCCTGTCTCCTACATATTACATTTACATAGCACTAAACCGTTTTCCCCAGTTATGCTGTGGTGAAAAACGTAATAGCTGGCTGAAAAATGTTCACAGTGGGAGTGAACATTTTGTTAAGCGAATGAAGTCATACATTTATCTATTGCACCAGAGTCGCATGGAGGTGGTTAGGATGAATTCAGGCAACAAAAGCTCTTTGGTTTTGCTTATGAAAAGACTGAATGCTTCAAATATCTGTAAACTTTGTATTAAAGCAGACCATGATCTTTCCTTTTCAACCAAGTGCTGCCACTGCATAAACGCAACCATAGAAAAGTTTAATAATGCTGCAGGAGCAGACACAAGTTTTGTGAATATTATGGCAGAAAACAAATGAAATACACTGTCAATGAACACTTTATAATTATTTAACTATTAAGTATTTGATTTAATGATTTACTTATATGATTAGTACCAACATTTTTGTGACTTGCCAGATACATTTATTGACAGTACAGTATGTCCTCATTATATTAAAATGCAATCTGGCTAGTTTTAAAGGATAAGGCTGGTCATCTTCTATATTAATATTTTCAACACTCCCCATACAGACTAAAACCAACAGTTTGATTCTACTCATGGTTAATGTCCAGCAGTGTGACAGTCCTAGATCAGCTTATTAAAAAAGATTAAAAAGATATCAGTGAAACACACCTGTGCACTGCATATTTCTGTATTAGCAAACACCAGGCCTGAGCATGAGTAGTGAGTGGAATGTACTGTAAACAAAGCAAAGAGCTCGCATGTCAATCTGACCCTTTGTCTGGGGTTTTGTAATGAAGTGTCACCCAGTGCAGCAGTGCGTTACCCTGATGTGTTTTTAATGGTTTTAAGCCGTTTTCAGATAGCACGTGGCTGGAGTTACGCTCCGCTATTGAACCCATTCATTTCTATGTGTCGTGTGATGCAAGAACATATCTGCGCTGCACCGAGCTGAGCGTAGCGCAAGGTTGCATGTGCCATCCCTGTGCCCTGCGCTGAAGTTAAAATGGCTCAACTTGGGCGCAGCACTCTGTTACAACTGCAAAGAACCTGACAGACCACAAAGGAAATGTAGGAGAAGCTGATTTTGGTGGACCCATGCCTTCTTCTTCTTCTTCTTCGCTGCAGCTCATCTCCTCCTCATCATCAATACAACTGAAACCAGAGCTTTTCACTGACCTATAAATAGATACATTGTGCATCCAAGTCTACTGCTCAAAAAACTAGTTAATATCTGTTAAGCACCTCCTGGAAGGCTTTTTGGCCACCTAGCAACCACCCTTCTCCCCTGTGCAGCGGTGAGAGCAGCGCATACCGCACCAATCTGAAAACGGCTTTAGTCTCTGAATGGGGAGTGTTGAAAATACTGTTAATTTTAAAAAATGACCGGCCTTGTCGTTTAAGTTTCATTTATAACAAAAGCTACAAGTTATTATATGTGAGCCACCTCTACTGTTAGTCCAACACACACGTGCACACACACACACACAAACACAAAGACACACATCTGCAGGTGATCTCTGCAGACAAATGGGCACATCAGAGATAAAAGAACACAGGAAACTAATTCTCTTTGATTTATTCACTTAGGATATGTCGTGACTTCTCTGGACAGTTGAGAAAAAGACAAGGGCCTCCGAGTGTTGTGTTGGGCTCATCTTTCACATGAAACGCGCTTCTCTCAGATATCTTTAAAAGGTAATTCATCAGCACGCTGCTCCTCTGACATTTAGAGCACCCTTGGCTTTGCCCCTTTATGGAGCAAGACTGCACACCAAGTAGGGAAACAATTATGAGAGGGATTTATGGAGCATTTCTGTGTGAGATCATTCCTCAACACCCTCGCCACCACCTCTATACTATGATCCCACCCACTCCCAACCCCTCGTACACACATTATTCACACTGATATACTTGTGATAAGGAGCCATCCAAACATATCTGTGCCTTATGCCGTGTATTAATCCGATGTTACAGAAATGGATACATGCATTTACTGCACACACAGAGGAGGAAAAGAGACAGTGGCTTGTAATGTATCATAGTGGAACACTAAGTGGCCCCTCGTAAGAAATCCATAATGGTAATGGAGCTAAAGCTATTAGCTAAGTCCCT